CCAGCATATTATACCTTCTTTAATCTGCCCAACAGAGCTTTGTAGCAGAGAGACTAACTTGTCCTAACTTGTCTAGGGTCACACAACTAATAAGTGATGGATGGAATAAGGATTTGAACTCAGGCAACTTAAAAATCAATATGACATATTTCTTTCCCTACTTGATCACTTCATGTTGAGACCTCAGAAAGTCAGTTCACTTTTATGATCCTGTTTTCTCATTGGTGAAAGTGTATTTCTACCTCACAAAATTCCCATTAGGATTCAAAGTTAGGTACTCTGAAATAAAATAATATTTACCGAACTTCTGCAGGATTCCATAAGATGCACTGCTGAGAGTAGTTAAAGGGTTCTGAAGTCAAATAATCAGGAAAGGACATATCTTCTTAGAGGTTCAGGATGTACCAAATGTACATAACTCCTGAGAATTCTGAAATGAAGAAACCTTTTTAACTGTTATTTACCTGACATTCTCATGCTTATTTGACCATGGGACTTTTTGTTTGACTGCACACAATTAGACCTTAACTCTGGGCCAGACTTAGGGAAATTTGGCGGAAAAAAAAAAAAAAAGCATGAAATCAGAGGACCTAATGGGTCTGAGAATAGTTCAATTTTTAACCAAGCCTTTCAGCAAAAATCCCTCAACCCTCCAAATCCGTGTTTTCCTTCTCAACTCTTGCCTAACTCACTGGCTGATTTTCTATCTTTTGGACCTCCGTTCTCAGGATCATCTTCTAAGCATCAGCTAATTATGTTTCATAGCACAGACATATTAATGCAGCTAAGGCATTCATTTGTTTGTTTTTACAGTGTTCAGGGTTGAAGCATTGCCTTATCCCCTATATGCTAGGCATGTACTGGGAGATGTACTTCCCGTCCTTACTCATTTAATTCTTAAAAATCATTCTCTGAAGTACATGCTGAAGCAGCTAGTCCATGGTGCAGTCTATTTTCAGATTCCAAGTCTATTCTCTGCCTCTTTAATGGCTCCCCACTGTTTCTCCACAACAGAGCCCTGATTTCAACTTTTCTTTTCTATCTCATCTCTTCTTCTCTATTCCCTACTATGTGAGTTTGCTAGGATTATGAGGGAAAATTCTGTTCCAGGCAGGCTTCTCTCCTTGGCTTGTAGATGGCCATCTTTAGTTCACAGGGCATCCTCCCTGTATATGAGTGTGTCTGTGATCAGACTTTCCCTTTTTATAAGTACTCCAGTTACACTGGATTAGGTCCTATTCTGATGGCCTCATTTTAACTTGAGTACCTCTATAAAAAAATCTATTTCCAAAAGGTCACATTGTGAGTTACTAGGGTATAGGGATACAGTTATCTTTCATCTTAAATGTGTCACTTCCAAGATTATATGCTTAAGGAATATTACAAATGCAAGATTTTTATGGTCAGAAAATAGTATCACTTCTACTCATACTATATTGGCTACATCTCAGTCATAAGACCCAGATAATCCCGGGAGTGCCTAGCTGGGTACACAGGAACTATACTTGTTTCAGTCTCTTTTGCCACAGTGAAGGTGTTGGGAAATTTCAGGGAATGAAGGTAGAAGGAAAACATTCTTAGTTTGTGGTCTGTTTTCAAATGCTAGTTATACAAGAAAAAACCAAGCCAGTTCTTGTAAAGCAACTGAGAAAGTTGGACCACTAGTCAAAAAAATTCACCTGAATTTCTTTAAACTTAATAATCATGTTACATTAGAAAAGTTTATTTTTGATACCATGTATTTTATATTATAATGATCTTATCCTTTGTACAAAAATAAAAATATTCTACATTAATAAAATGGGAAATAGTAAGCATTTTTCCCAATTATGGCTAGGGATACTTGAAAATTTAGTAATACTTTTTTATTGAGTGGCTTTACAATCAATATTTTAAAAGTTAGGGTTGGTAAAATGAAACCTAAACTAATGGTCTTCTCAGTAAAAGGCTATGGTGGATATTTATAGTACATTTTTATAAATGTGGTTCTCTTGCCTGTTTTTCAAAGTGTAGTTATTACAGTTTAGCCTAACTTATACCCCTTTTGGCCACTATGTGACAAGTCACTAGACACATCCACAGCACCAGCTATATCCTTAGGCCAAACAAAAGAAAACACCTCACTTTTGGGCCCTTAGGTGATTTACTAAGGGCCCATTAGATGACATCAAAGTCAAGTTTATGAGAGAAAAAGGCCAACAATGTAAATCCCAATAGTTTGGAAGTGAATTAAAAAGCTCCCAAATCAGTACTTCTCTCAAATGTTAAATAATTCACTGTGGCATTATAGATACAAGCCTCCAGCAAAAGTTACACTTGAACAATTAAGGAAGCAGAAACCAAACAAATGACTTCAGGGGTAGAGAAACAAATTAATGGTTTCTCAAAGTACCAAATTACTTTTTCACATTAACAAGTGTGTAAAACAACCAAACACACCAATGGCTTACTAGATTAAGTTTGATTATAGAAAATAGCCTGGAATTATATGCAGAACTATTCCCTAAATGTATAGGGAATTCTATATACTTCAGTATAAAACTTACTTATGTTATTTGGAAAATTTTTATGTCCATAATATATACCTTCTTTTTCACAAAGTTCTTTTACTCAGATTGCTCAAATTACAACCATCATCTACCAATTTATGTTATGGGAAGGATCAGAAGCAATGTAATTGTTTTTTAGAGGCTGGATAAGAAATCAGAAACATGGGGTAACATCACAGTGTACATATAGATTAAAAACCCCTCAAGGGTAGAATGGCTACACACTTTAGAATAAAAACAGGATTTTAATCCAACTCTACCACTTTCTACCTAAAAAATTTTCATCAAGTTTTAACTTGAGTAATGGTTATCTCTTCTATAAAATGAGGATGATTCACTTACGCAACCAATAAATACTGTATCGAGCAGTACTTTCCAAAGGTTATTAAAGATAATTGCTGGTACTCATTATACATATGTAGTTACCCAAATAATACAAGTAGATACAAGATGATAAGCAGATATAAAGGATGTTAGGTGATATGAAGTTCATTTGCTTTCCAAGGATCAAAGGGCTATTAGTATTCATTCTAAATCTTTATGTATTTTCTCCTATAACCCCAACAAATCTGAACCACGAGTTTCTACAAAGTTTAAAGGCTAAAATGTTGAGCTCCGATTCCAGTAGGTATCAGGGAAGAATGTACATATATTAAAGATTTCCCAAGCTGCCTTCAATTTGTAAGTTTTTCAAAACATTTTGTGTGTGTGTGTGGGGGGGGTGCTAGGGATCAAACCCTGGGCCTCGCACATGCAAGTGCTCTACCACTGAGCTACATCCCCAGTCTTTTTTATTTTTATTATGAGACAGGGTCTAAGATGCCCAGGCTAGACTTGAACTTTTGATCCCCCTGACTCAGCCTCTGGGTAGGTAGAATTACAGACAAGCATCACTGAACCCAGCTTTTAAGACATCCTTATACTAAGATCGTTTTTGTCATACCAATTTAATAACTAGTATTAATAACTTGTAGAGGTAAAATAAATTATGTGAAAGAGAACAGAAAGATGGAAAAACACAAGAGATTTAGAGAGAAGAGATCCAGAAGTAGAACTTCGCTTTCCCCATTTGCTAGCTATGTCACCTGAAAAAGTCTGAAGTTTTAAAAATGTTTTCAAGAGAAAAATGAGTATAACAACTCCTAGCTATTGAATATTATAAGGATCAAATGATAACTGTCATAAGAATAATTAGTAACCTGAAAGCATAAAACAAATATAAATTATTTCCAAATGAGTAAGAACTGAAAGTGATCTCCAGATACCCTTTCTAGGGATGACACTTATATGGACAAATAAAGACAGATGTGTAAAATGATACTGGCCAAAGGAGTGGTCATTTTTCGCCTCTCCAGTAATTTTCTTTGCTTGCTTGTTAATGAGAAAGGGTCATTGGACTTCACACATGGCAAGTAATAGTCATCTCGAAATAGTATACAAGAAAATATTTATGGATAAGACTGCTAGAAGTAACAAAAAATCATAGATATGTATTGATTTTACAATAAATAAACAAGGTCAATTAGCCATAAGTCAAAGTTTCTAGAAATGCTTCTTTTTGTGAGAAAAACTTCCTTGTCATCATGTTTTTAGGGTGGTTTTAACTTCACATGCCAAAGTTTACTCGCAGATTGTTACTTCTATACAAGCTGTTAACCCAATGCCAAGCATATTGTTAGGATTAAATCAAATTATTGCTGATATACTCTTACTAAAAATATATGCAGTTTTTAAAAAAAAATTAAAGATTTTAAATTTATTTTATATGCAGAAAAAATGAGTGAAACATGTTTATAAATTTACTTTTTATAAATGTATAAGATATAAAAATTTCTTATTGTAGTAACCTAGTAAAAACCCTTTTTCGGGGCTGGGGTTGTAGTTCAGTAGTAGAGCGCTTGCTTGCCTCACATGCGTGAGGAACTGGGTTCAATTCTCAGTACTGCGTATAAAAAAATAAATAAAGGTCCACTGACAACTGAACAAATATTTTAAAAAAACCACTCAAAATCAAATAGAAAGAATAGCACTAAAGTAGACTATTTCTCCTAAAATGGGAGTAGTATTAGTCTTTATACAATTAGATAGCACTCTGAGTAGGTTTAAAAATCACAAATCTTCAATTAGGTGACACAGGCATCTCTACAGAGATGCAGCAGTCCATTATGGGAGAGGGGGGTAATGAGAAGAACATTTTAAATGCTCAAGGTAGAAATGAAAGCATTTGATACAAATGTGTGGCGAAATTTACGAGAGGTATACACGGAGCTGGCCAAGACTATTAGACTCATTAGGAACAGCAAAAATCCATTTTTAGAAACCTACAATATATTTTACTCTGTCTTTGAATCAGAGAGTGACAAAGGGCTAAACAGTGATTTCCACTGACCTGTATTCAGTAAAAGAAAACACAATCTAGAGAACAATATTGGAAGAGTTATTTCTTCTTACCATGAGTAGATCCCACTGACTGTGTCATAGTTCTGTGAAGTGTTCACTCCGCTGGGCCCAGCTGCTTTCGAAATAAGCAGCACCACCAAGCCCCTCAACTGGAGGTTATGGCGGCTGTCATGCACAAGCCCCCTGCCAACAAGTAAAGGGAAAAGAGGATTAATATACCTTCACAGGATCAGTCAGACCAAGTTAGAAAACTGCTATGAGTATATCTAAATTTTAAAACTGGTCAATGGGATTTATTGAAAAGAAAGGGATGGGGAGGAAGGAATTCAACTGAGAAAGCAGGGAACATAGAAACGACTAGAGAAATCCATGTCTGGTTTTAAAAAGTGATACTTGAAAGTTATAAGGCTTGATGATCTAGTTCTCTCTGGATCTTTCTACTATCTCTTTCCTTCCTTCCTTCCTTCCTCCCTCCCTCCCTCCCTCCCTCCCTCTTTTGTTGTTGTTGTTATTGCTGGTAAACTCAGGTATAGTATGTATGCCAGGTAAGTGCTCTACAGGAAGCCATAGTTTAAAGTGTTTTGGTAGTTGATGGCAATTGTAATAGAAACTGTATGGCTTGGATGAAGCAATACTATTTGGTGATGATAGTAATAAGAGAGAATGGTAAAAAAAATTATTTGTCTTTATGGTAGAAAAGAAGTTTAGAGAATGAAAGGATTAAAAAAAATCCAAATGACTTAAAAATGCATTTAAGTAAATAGAAATGAATGCCATCAGCAAAAATCTTGTCATTTCCTATTAATAGGAAAGCATCATCATTCTAGGCAATAATAAGGCTTTAATTTAGGATGTCATATTTCTTTTGTTATGAGGATTGAACTTTTATAATTTCTGCTATAACTGGGGCTAGCAATACTTTCTAGAACACATTTTCTTTTTAAAGTGTTGCAAATGGTTGTCATAAAAGACTAAATGGCATCATTTAAAATGAAAGAAAATGGGCAAAATGTTAAGATAAATTAATAGGTAGAAGAATGCCTTTGTGAGTACTAATAAAATAGATTATGTTATAGCATAAATAAATAGTATACAAGTATAGTTCTTGAATGTGGTAAAAAAGCAATGCTAAAAATTAGTATTGTTCATTGAATTAAGACTTAGTTTTGAAAAAAGAATCAACTTAAGTTAATGAAGTTATCATAACCAAAGATAATGAGTTAATATATTACTTAAAAATCTTTGCCTCTCAAGCTTCTGAACAGAAATTTGTAAGAGGTCCCTTTTTACGCTTCATTAGTTTCAAAATAAGACAAATCAGGTTCTTTGCAAAAGAACAACTTTACCTCTTTTACTGGTATATCTTACCCTTAACCAAGCAAGTGATCTTCAGTAATTAGAAAGGTTAGTAATTTTAAAAAAGAAGTTTTCATTTCCTAGGAAAATGAAGTTAAGGTAACCAAATTACATTGCAGCAGAAACAAAATATGAGAAAAGTCCTAAACTCTTTATTATTATTTAACAAGTTGCCTAAATCTTATGGATCCAAATTGTAGGAAGGCTGGAAAGCACCCTGTGGGGAACAAGAAAATGTAAAATAGGATCTTGTTCTAAATTTTTTGCTTGTAATTGCAAATTTTAACTAAGGCTATCAAGTCCTCATTTTAGGTATTACCTACAGTGAATCTTTATGCATCCTTTCTTTTAAAATATTAAAGAGAAGGTTTGAATAGATCTTTAATTCTAGAAAGGCAAAAGAGGTAGGTAAGGCTTTGTGTGTGGGTGGATGTAGATGTGGATGGGTGTTGGGGTTGAGCCTGGTCAGGGACGAGGGATATGATGATACAGTAAGAACCCTAGCAGGTGAATTTGGAGACAACACAAATCTAGTCACACTGAGAAACTAGGTCTAGCAACAATTTTGACAACATTTTCTCCAATCTTCTTAGAGATGGGAACCTTCACAGGGGATTAATAATAGCATCAGTAAACACTTATCTAATGCTTTATGTATTTTAACGTATCAGGAATTGTTCTACATGCTTTACTATATATTAACTAAATTATTTCACAACTCAAACAGGAAAGTACCACAATTATCCTGATTTTATAGATGAGAATGAAGCACACAGAAATATTGAGTGACTTTCCCAAGGTACCATAGCTGATAAGTAGTGGAGCCTTGACAGAGCCAGGCTCTGACCAGGCAAATAGTTAGTTTTAAGGTCTATAGACACTCTTTTTTTATATATTTATTTTTTAGTTGTAGTTTGATACAATATCTTTAATTAATTACCCCAGCTCCTATAGACACTCTTAATCATAATGCAAATAGTGACTCTATATCTGCTTCATCTCATGGACAAAACTATTTGCTAAATATAATTAGAACAGTAGGCTTTAGAACCAGACAGGCTTATGTCTGAAAAATTCTTTTTGTTATTCACCAGCTGTATTACTTGAAGGCTGTCAACTCTTTTATAAAATGAGAGTAACAATGTCTACTTTCCATACTCATGGTGGGGAAGAGATAACAGGGATAAAGCCTATAACTCTGTGAAGCATATGGTAGGAGATCAAGTTATCAGTAAATTACATTCTCTTTGATGCTTTTTTATGATCTACTTTTTTTTCCAATTCCTTCCTTTCCTTTTACTCCTTGTCTCCTCCCATCCGTCTTCCCCCACTCTACTTGCATATAGAATCTCCTACAAATATTGTTCACTTTTCTCCCTTCCGGAAGGACAAAAGTTACGCCACTCTTCTGCAAGCATCACTATCAATGTACTGAAAAGGTCAGGAAGAAAAACAAATGGATACTAGCTTAAGTTAATTAAATAACTGTTTCTAAAAGCAACTTCTTGACATTCACTTCATTAACACCTTCAAAAACAGTACAGTATACAATAGAATATTACTCAGCATTAAAAGAGAATAAAATCATGGCATTTATAAGTAAATGGGTGGAGGTGGAGAATATCATGTTAAGTGAAGTAAGCTAATCCCCCCAAACCAAAGACTGAATGTTTTCTCTGATATGTGGATGCTGATCCATAATGGGGGTTGGGGGGTGGGGACATGGGAGGAATGGAGGAACTTTAGATAGGGCAAAGGAGAGGGAGGGAAAGAAAGGGGGCATAGGGATAGGAAAGATGGTTTAATGAGATGGCATCATTACCCTAAGTATACGTATGAAAACACGAATGGTGTGACTCTACTTTGTGTACAATCAGAGACATGAAAAATCTGTGACTACTATGAGAAATGCATTTTGCTGTCATGTATAACAAATCAGAATAAACAAATTTTTTTAAAAAGTACTGAGATAAACTGATGATGCCCACAACTCAAAAATTAGCTCTGATCCTAAGAAAGTAAGAAATTTTGTTTCTCAGCATAAAAAAGTTCCTGGCATTCTAAATTTAAAAAGATAATATGTTTCATATAATCCAGGTCATATTTTACCGGGAACACTGATCTATCTACTATCAGTGTCTCTCTTTAAGGAGTTACATCCACAAACAGGAGCATATCCAGAAGATGGTAAAATCACATACAGGTTGCAAAAGTTTCAGATTTAAGGACTATGTAAATATTCCGAAATACAAACAAACAAACCCCCAAATTTGAAACATATGTGGTTAAGCATTTTGAATAGCTCAATGAATGCTAGCTTAGAGAATGGTAAAGTTGGTTTTTCAAATTTATTCAGTCAAACATGTACTGAATGCTGATTACATGTCAGGCATGGTACTAAACAGGCAGTGGAGGACATAATGACAAGCAATGGTGAGCTGTGGTCTCCCTTCTTGTAGATAACAGTCTGAATGAAAAATATCATGATTAAATGCAACATGAATTACTTTTAGGGATGAACAGGGTTATGAGAGCAAGAGACCTCCAGGAGATTTAAAGAAATGTTTTTCCTCAGGAAACTTGGAATGGAACCACCATTTGACCCAGCTATCCCACTCCTTGGTTTATATCCAAAGGACTTAAAGTCAGCATACTACACTGAAGCAGCCACATCAATGTTTATAGCAGCTCAATTCACAATAGCTAAACTACGGAACTAACCTAAGTACCCTTCAATGGATGAATGGAGAAAGAAACTGTGGTATATAAACACAATGAAATATTACTCAGTCTTAAAGAAGAATGAAATGATGGTATTTTCTGGTAAATGGATGGAGCTGGATAATATCATGCTAAGCTAAATAAGCTAAGTCCAAAGAAAAAAAGGCTAAATGTTTTCTCTGGTATGCAGATGCTAATTCACAATAAGGGGGGCAGCAAGGGAAGAAAAGAGGTACTTTGGATTGGGTGGAGGGAAGTGTAAAGAAGGCAAACGGTAGGGGGACAGAACGATAGTAGAATGAATCGGACATTATGACCCTATGTGCATATATGATTACACAACTGGTGTAATACCACATTGTGTACAACCAGAAGAATGAGAAGTTATGCTCCATTTATGTATGATGCATCAAAATGCATCTACTGTCATGATTAACACGATTAACTAGAACAATTTTTTTTTAAATCTTCAAAAAAAAAAAGAGGATGTGGGAAGAGACAGGTAAGAGGAGTGTATTTACAGCCCAAGAATGGGCATATCCCTGGCTGAGAACATTGTATGAAAGGAGGTTAGAGACAGATAGGGATTGGACCACATAGGTTGAACAGGCTTTAGTAACAGTTTTGCTCTTCATCCAAAGAGTAATACAAAGACACAACAGCATTTTATTAAACATAATCAGATATTTTTAAAAAAAATCATCCTCTCCAAATCCTCTCTCCTCAGTGTAGAAAAACAACTTGGCTGGAGAAGAGAGGAGGAAACCAAGTGGGTGTGAGAATCCAGATAGAAGGCTTTTACAATATTCAATGAGAAACACGGGCCAACTTGGTGGACATCTTGAGATGTCTAACCCTAAAATAACATTTGATTCAATTCAAATGGACATTGCGTGCTACACTGTCCTAGAATTTAGATTATGTAGATATATCAGTAATTTTAAATAATTTTATTCTGAAAGCCTGTAAGCTGACTATTGAGGGGAAAACACTTCTTTCAAAATTCTACTCCAGATCTATAACAGATGAACATATCCTAATAACTAGGCAATTTCGTGGACATAAAGATTGAGTAGGTGAAACTTCAGGCAAGCCAGCTCCGTTCC